GGGATCATGGGTTACGTTGGTTGGAGCTGTTGCCAATGGTCTACTCCACGCGACTGCTTGGCACGCATACTTCCCGTCACCTATCGAGAAGTTGCTCTGGAGGATAAGTTGCATAGTCATTGCTAGTTGTGCACTGGGATTCTTGTCGTTTGCCCATCATTACGCAAAATGGACGATTCGACAAACTTGGGAGGCACGATTTGATGACCAACGGTGGAGAAGCTGGATGCTTCTTCATGCTATGTGGAGAGATGCTTCGAGGCTGGAGTCCCGAGAGAAGTGGAGGCGCGTGTTGCTGTTTTATCTCGGGTTCATTTTTTTGCTTTCTTATGCTGCCGCTGCTCTGTTCCTAACTATCGAACCTTTCATTTGTGTCCGAAGTCTTCCGATAGGTTCTTACTCAACTATGTCGTGGAGCGGGTTTTGGCCGCACTTCTAATATGATATCGGGGGTTTCAAAGAATAGCCGGCATCATTTTGATTTACCTTCTGTTTCAAGTTTCTTTAAAACCAGCGAGCGATCTTCTTTTGTGATTTCTGTATAGAACAGCTTAACCGCTACAGAGTTTGAAATGTGTTCGAATTGCCATGTTGACTGGTATTGGGCATTGTTTTATTGCTCGAGACGGAATACTGATAGTTCCTGTCCAATGAAATGAAACATGCGCGTTATGCTTCCAGCGCAGAATGAACTCAATTTGAAACCGATTCCAAATCTAATCACCTGGTCACTCACTGTCACTTGGGTTGTGAAGCACCAAGCGCCGGTAGTGTCAAGTTCTAAGAACGACAACGATAAGTCTCAGTCTGGAGCAGATAACTCCTTTACATTCATGAGATGGACCTCGTCAAACATCTGGTACTCATTTCAGATAGTTGGCGATGCAGTTGGTTACAGCGAGATGCGACTATCAGGGGCCAGGGCTGAATCTTCATTCGGGCGGAAAATGCATCGATGCATTAGAATCCTCTAATGTAGTCGGTGTCCAGTCGGCGGACCGGTACATAATCGCTGCTGGGGTTTAGAGAATAAACCAAGCCACCTTTTCGCTGGCAATGCGGTAGAGAGGTACTTTAAAAGGTCACATGCTGTTGCATGTCCAAACCCCAGTACCGAGTACAGCAAGTGCACCATGCTGACGCCAAGTTTGTTCATCCGTTGGGGCAAGACAGGACTCGTCTGTCAGAGTAGTCTAGACGACACGTGCACGTGCGGGAAGAAGGCCCAACAAAGCATCGCGAGCTGAATATCTCACTGCTACACGAAAGCCTGCAAAAAAGATAGCGCCTTATGAGGCTGAACGATCGCCCTATCCATGCTTTCTTCAGCCGTACGCAGCCAAGTCCAGCCTGATTGGATACATTCCCATTCGAGTTACAGATCTTTCTTTTCACATGCGGGAAGTGTCTAACAACATGTAGTTGGCCATACGAATACGCCTAAATTTGCTAGAGATGCATGAAATCCGCGAAATTGGATAACAGGGCGCAACATCAAAACTAAGTATATTTTTGTACCCGACCGTTCCAACTCGTCGACTTCTACCATCTCAGTACACATCTACCTACCACCGATTATATTCGAAGAAAAGGGTTTCCGCATATTTACGTTTACCTCTATCTTTCGTTTTGTTTGGGCCAACGGGATAACACCTGCAGTGCTCACCGAGTCAGCATCGAGACCTGTACGTAACTCTACCAATCATTTTATCAGGTCGGGATATTTGCTTATTTCGTGCTGAGACTCCACAAATAAATTTTGCAGTCGACTGCCAGCTTGGGAGCGAGGTTAAAAAGCTGGGAGAAAATATTTGCACCAGCCTGGGGTTCAAAATGTGAGTGAGAAAAACATAATGAACCATGGTCGCATTCGAGCACTAATAGCAGACATTGTTCAGGTTTCTGCGTGCATCATTAGTGTTCTGCATTATAATCTGCATAATTTTGGCTTTATCGATCCTTGCTTCGTCACATTGCTCTCGGGGAACAACATTTGGAGCTGGAGGTGGGCGAAAGATTGGAATCGTGATCGACAGCTCGGGATCAAACGCAGAAACGGACCCCCGGGATCTCCGTATCGCCGCCGCCAAAGATTTCAGCAATCGGCTGACTTCCAAGGACAAGGCAGGGCAACCGGATCTTGTCACAGTGGTGAAGTTTGATACGAAAGGGACGGTTGTATACTCCCTCGGCGATCCGGCGAACGCGGCTTTTGATACTATCAAACCAAAGGGTGAATCATATATTGCCCCGGGTCTCGGGGTTGCAATCAATGAGTTGGGTGCATACAAGCAGGTTCCAACCGCAAATCGGACAGGCGTGGTTCTGATGACGGATGGAGAAGACCCAGTTGTTGACACACTGGTAGATCAACTTGACCGAGCAGCATTTTTGGGCATTCGAGTTTCCTTCGGGTATTTAAACCCGACAGACGCACCAATATCGCCGAACCAGAATCTGACAATTGCAATCCTCAAAACCGGCGGCGCTGATGCTTTTGTCAATGACCCTGAAGCTTACCAAAGCTTTGTAAATCTTGTCGTTGCCCGCGGACCAACAGACTTTGACGATTCCGATGGTGCTAACAATGAGATGTTCCCAGGACTCTCACTCATCGGCGTCCTTTCGACTGCCTCGTCTGTCGCATTCGCTCAGGCCCCGGTACCAGAGCCCGACGTTAACGGAGGGTATTCCACCAGCTGATAGGTATGGCTTCGGGTATGAGAATGAAGCGCGACGTGCAACAGCTGGTACACCTTAGTTAATAGTCTGCTATTGGAGCTACATGTGTATAATGGCGGAGGTACAGCTGCTCAGTACAGGGGGTGAACTGGTCAACTGGCCAAAAATACGGAGCTTTTTGGTTTGGGTCTTTGTATGTTGTATCCCACAATCGCGGCATATTGACTCCTCACCGTTATCGGGAGTGCGTCACGATTATCACTCGACCTTGGGTCGAGGTAACAGTCAAGTGTATGTGTGTATACAGTCACGTGAGAGTCTCCACTTTCAAGCGCAATTCATTCCCCAGCTCAGCGATTAAACTCGTATACATCTTGCCAGTGGGCGGGATGTGGCATTCGCATTGTTCCTGCATTCACTTGGTCACCTCGCCTTGTTTGAAGGTTGAAAAAGGACATTTCTGTACTTCAAACCCCAAAATACTACCAGCCCACTACGTTGTTATCCATCAGGCCAGAGCAGAATATCCCTTTGACATCGTAACACCACTTGTAGTCGTACTGTATGATGAGACGGTGAGAGAGATGTTTATTCTCCTGCTTTAAGTAACCCGTTAGCCTCTGTTTAGCTAGTGCAAATGCTCCCTGCTCTTATCCAATCCATCAAATTTAATCCCATCATCAATATAACCCCATCACCAATCTAATCCCATCATCAGTCTCATCCCTGTAGCTATATCTCTATCACCGTATACTCAGCGACAAGTAACCATAACGAGCCACTGAATCTAGAATTATCTAACTCATCCTGTAAGAGCATGAAATATGAGGTTACGGCTGCACTGTTCACTTTTGACATGCACTCACCGTAGACAATCCTATTGTTGCAATAGATACTTGATTGACTTGTTAATTGTATCTATCGAGGCTACAAGGCCATGTATATATACAGTAGACCTGCGTACGTCTGCGTACACTCTCATCCATAAGCTCGTATCCGTATGCCCTACGGTATGCCCTATAGCCCTACCGAGGCCTGCCCTACAGAGGCTGACCTTCTAAGTATACATGTAACACCTACTCTAATTTCCACAGCGAGTGCTGAGCGATGATTATTTTACACTAATCCAACCCGGTGTTCCGGTTTCCAGCACGTCTAAGCACTATACTTGCTAGAACAATAAAAATGCCGAACGAGCTAGCTCGGAGGTCTCTGATCATCGTTACGCCGAATGCCTATCGTCTTGTAAAAAGCCTTGGAGATTTGGCAACCAACATTTACTAGGATGTGGAGACAGATAGACGAGCTCCGATTTAGGCTGTCTTGCTGCAGAAATTCCACGGTAATTTAATCTTGAGTGATGTTCATGCCCCTGATCTCTATTGTACTGTAGCGAGACGATGCTTCATACGACCTCCGAAATGTCACGCGATTTTTTTACTGACCAAACTCCTGTTACACCTTCTTTTCTCACTTTTGAGGGCCTGTTATGTAGGATTTAGGGGCGTTTCCTACCAGTGCTTTTGGTGGGTTCTGATAGTAGACTGGTACTTTTGATCTTTTCAGCCCTTAGGAAGCGGAGTGGAGAGATTTTTTGTTAATAAACTGTAAAATTGGCCGGGTTACGTGACGCTTTCTGACCACAGGGCTAACATACGGCCTCTCTGTGACTGTAACAAAAATCCTGTTTTTACCTACCGGACGAGGCCCTGTTACGCGCTACGTCCGAAGCATCGTGTTCGCTACAGTACAAGCGCCCTCGAGGGGGAAGATATGAAGAAACGTCCAAAAGTGTTATAGGAATACTCTGTGACCTTGATGCACCAAACCACCCTTCCGGCCCTGTGCATCGAGCTCAACCAGAAATCTGTGGAGGTACAGTTCAAAAACATTATCGTTTTGTAATTGTTACTTTGAGAGATGAAATAGATGCTTGATTGTGAATTATCCAAATCTATGCCGAATCCCATGGTCTATATAGAGCCTGCCATACTCTCTAGAACTCTCGTGATTGTGCACTAGCATATCCTCGTATCTTCATACACGTCTCAGGTTCCCATACAAGCCATGATCTCATACAAGATCATACACATGATCCTGATGCATATATGTAACAGTAATTGAAACAACTGCACCGAGTGATCATTCGTGGTTTGGACCATCGACGTTTATATGTTTACGCTTGAGGCAGTAGTGAATCTCTGCAACAGTCATTCCCCGGAGGGGATGTTAAAAGTGAAGTGGAATTGTTAAAAAAAATCAGGAGGCTACGCGCTGTTCTGAACCGTCCCGGGCACAGCTCAGAACGCGCGTAGACCAGGTCCTACCCGGAGTCGAACCGGGATTGCCGGAATCAGAATCCAAAGTGCTAACCATTACACTATAGAACCAGCTATTTTGGAATCCAGCCAAATGAGGTTGATAAATCTACTTAAGTACATATTTCCGGAAACCTTACTCAAAATATATAACTAAAGGCAGCCCAGGCTCATTATTGGGAGCGTGAGGCGAAATCCACGTTTTGGTCTCTACTACATTGTTCGAGCTGTCCTGGTGGATATCATGCCGGCGCCGTTGAATGAAACTTAAATGAGCTGTAATGATTAATCACCCGGAGTGAAGCCATCAAAGGCGTTTCAAACCTTAGTATGTATCAAGACGCTTTAAACACACATCGGATATTGGTATCATTGGACAGCATCTTCTTGTTCTCCGCGTACATGAATCTCCACTGACTAAAGGAAGAGTGTATGCACATGCATGCCGGCATCGAAGTCTTGCAGCCTTGTTACCAATGGCAATTTTTCCTAAGCACACGTCTTATCGGATACCATGCAGGCAATCGCAGTGGTATCATTGGCGACTTCGATCCCTTCCCCGAACATGACACCTTAAGGGTCCTCTCCCCCCTTTTACTGAACTCACAAAACTTCAACAACTTCACTCCAGCAACGTCCTCGTAATAACTCCCGAACCGTCTATTCAATCATTAATAGTTCACATCCCTCATCGTTCACATACATCTTGCGGCTATTACTTTGAATGTACCGCCCTCACCCGATCTTGGCAATTTGTTCAAACATCTTGCATTAGCTACCCGCTGTCAGCAGCACAAGGCAATCTCTACGCTTCCTGTTTTTAGACAGCGCAAGGATTGATTCAGACTTGGTACTCTATTCCTCGCTTATCATTTTCTCCATTCTATTCGTGCCTCTGGCAAGTTCTTAGGCCGGGGTATTTGGCCAGCGGACAAGGTAACTGATCACGCTTGACAGATTACTCCCTCAATTCAAGATGGCCACAACAACCGTCAGAGTGACTTCTATGGATACTTCCTCGGACGGCACGCCAGATTCCGTTACGTTGCGTCTCGACGTTCCAGCGAAAGGATCTAAAGGTGTCACAACAGTTGAACAACCCGTCGTGGCTAAGGACTAGTTGTGTCAATAAAGTCCGTCATGCCCGAAGAGCCCGTTCTTGCTGAGGTCAATGAACAATCTCTGGTTCAGCCAGGAGCGGTCGATGATCTGAATCGGAGGATGGCAGAGCTGGAGAAGAAGTTTGAGGTACAGGGAAAACAGTCGGAGGAACATAAGAAGAAGCTACACAACCAAGAACGAATCAACAGGGATCTCTGGTGACACTTGCTCAATTCGTATACCAAGACTGTTACTGAGGCATTCCTTGAGCTATTTGACTACAACGGAAGGCATTGGAAACAATTTGTCAACAGTTTTCAACCTCCGCCATGGGTGCAGGTTTGGATGGACAAACAGGAACTTCAAAAGAGGTGACGGTATGCCTGGAGGAATGTCCCGATAATACTACCCACCGCACCGATGGCCGCGAGGCCCCTCGAGCTATTGATGAGGCTTGGGAGGCAGATGATGATAATATGCAGGAAGACTCATATCGCAGGCTTGTTACTATGATCCTGGTTTTGTACAAGGAAGAAAAGGATGAGGATTTCTCTCCAAAGTCTGGACCGAAGGATAAAAACTATTTTGCCCAAATCTTCAATGACGACCAGGAGCGCGAGTAGATATGTGAAGAAATCTTGGAGGCGGAGGAGTTTGATATCATCGCGTGTAGACCCACGAAGGGTGGTGTTCGAGGAGGGGTTAGGAAGCTGAAGGACAAGGGGTTGGAGAAATTCCACAATTTTGTCAACCGAGACCGATCGTCGTAAGAGAAGGTGGTATCCGGATCGATGGATTTCAGATGTGGTTTTTTTGTTGATGGTCCGAGGTTTAATTGTTGGTAGTTAGAAGTGACAAGGTCTCTGTCTCAGGTTTTCAGTGATTGATGGATGGGGTTCGAAAGTGTTATGTAGCTGCGCGAAAGGGTGTGGATTTGAGAGCTATGATGACGGAGAGTATATCCCGGATTACCGCATCAGGTTGCTGATTTTCTTTCAATGTTAGCTTTTTATGTAACATTGTATTGCAATAAACACAAACTGCTTGAAATTTGTTCCAATTCCTTGTCACAGATGCGATATATAAATATTTCATTTCGACGTTCAACAATCTCCGACGAGGTTCCTGATGTCTAAACAAGGTTGCGGCTGCTCTACTTGTCAATTTGTTTAGTTACCGCACCCCCATAACCCTAACCCATGTACATCGCTTAGAGTGGCAGAGCATGGATACCATCGCCATCGCCCCCCTTTCCTGAGTACAAATTGCAGCGACACCGATGGCATGCTCTGATTTCCCAAGAGGTAATACGTTTGCACTTAAGGCGAATGAGGGTTAACTAACTCTGAGCGCAGGAAAAGAAGTCACTCTTAGAAGGCGTGCTGTAATAGTAGCCTACTGGATGCTGGATATACCAATGTCATGGAACAGTATTATAGCAAGAGTGGACATTGCAAAATCTACAGTGCGGGGTATTTTTAAGCATGCCGTCAAAAATGCGGCAGCAAAGAGGGCCAGAGAGGCTGCGACAGTGAATTTTTGAGATCAACAGGAGGATAACTTGCATGCAGAAGTTGAGCAGGAGTTAGATACGCTACATACCCCAGCACAACAAGAGCGAGAAAATGAGGCAGATAGTTTTCTCAAGAGTGTGGGACGGTGACGTGTGGTCGGTCACTGGCGCTGCGGTCAAGGGAGGTGTAAAGTGGTGTGTATTGTGTAAGAGGTCTAGAAGGTCTAAAGAACAAAGAAGCTCCTATAAGTAGGAGGGTTGTGCGGCCCTACAAGCTGCCCTATGCCCTTATGACAGTCACGCACTTGGGTCCTAAGATGCCCGACACAATCTACTGCCCTACACTCCTCCTGGGGCGGGTATCGATCCAAACAAACCGAACAAACAAACAGTGCAGTGCCCCAAAAGCAAACAAACAGTAAAGTGCAGTGCCCCAAAACAAACAGTAAACGCCCGCGATTATCCCATCATATCCTCCAATCACAAGCGGGGGCCCAACCTATTCCATCTCATCAATGATCAACCCCATGCCGCAGCAGTGCTCCAGAAACGCCGGCTTCGCCAATACCTTCGTGAGTGCGTCTGCGAGCATCTCCGTAGTTGCAATGTACTCCATATCGAACTGGTTCTCTTGTACCATGTCTGCAGCCAAGTGAAACTTTGTAGCGATATGTGCAACTTCGGTGCCGCGGTAAATGCGGTTCTTGACGCTGGCTAGCATCGATTGGGAATCCGTGTAGACCATGGGGCGGATGTGCGAGTCAATGCCAATTTCCTTCATCAGATGCATTAGATGGGTGATTCGCATACAAGCGGCGCCAAATGCATAATACTCCGCGTCTGTGGTCGACTGAGCGGTTGACTTCTGCTTCCTGGATCTCCAATCGACTGCTCCTCTGAACTTGATAACCATTCCCGATGTCGATTTGAAATCGTCCTTATCTCCAGCGTAGTCGGAATCCACCGAGATTTGAAATCGGCCTCCCGGATCTCCTCCGAGACGCAGTTTCCATCGCCTAGTTCCTTTGAGGTATCGGAAGATGCACTTCAGAGCGACCATATGCTCTTTGGATGGGTCTGCGTTGTACCGACTAAGAACTCCCACTGCATATGCCAAATCCGGCCTTGTGGCAGTCATCAAGTACATTAGGCTTCCAACCATTGACTGATACAGCGTCTTGTCACAAGGATCTTCGTCAGGTTTCCGCTTATGAAGTTTGATGCTCATCGGAGTCGAAACGGCTTTGGCATCTTGCATTCCGTACTTGTGTAACTCAGCATCGAGTAAGGCTTGCTGGTGGATATCGATGGTATGGAGATGGCGATTTCTCTCAATCGTCATACCCAGGTAAAACGATGCTTCTCCCAAGTCATGCATCCTGAATCGATTTGCCAATTGCTTCTTGATTCCTCCAATGTCATGGCCCAGAACGAACAGATTGTCGACGTACAGTATCACCATGGCAATTACTTTGGATTTGTCGCGGAGTATAAATAGATCACCATCAACTCTTGATGGTTCAAATCCAATCGAGATGACAAAGGCCTTGAATTCTCCGTACCAGACGTTAGATGACTGTTTCAGGCCATACAGCGATTTCCGAAGTCGCATCACAAGTACCCGAGACGTCCCAGTCTTTGCTTTTGATGTTGTTGGCAACTGTGACTTTCCAACGCTTCCAAAAATACGGTAGTAGCGCTGCGGAGGATGCATATAGATTTCCTCTTCCAGATCGACTCCAAGAAACGCCGTGCAGACATCCATCTGGTGCAGTTCCAAATCATATGCCACTGCGATAGCCAAGGCCATCCTGATGTGGCCAGGTCTTGCCGTCGGAGCATATGTCTCCTTGTAATCAATTCCTTCTATTTGATGATTTCCACCAACTACCAGCTGCGCTTTGAATCTCTGTATCTTACCGTGACCATCTCGCTTGACTTTGTAAACCCAGTGGCTTGGTAGTGCCTTCCAGCCTTCTGGAAGTTCGACGAAAACAGGGTCAAAGACTTTGTGATCGACAATCCCCTTCAGCTCTTCTTTCATCGCGGAATCCCACTCAGCTGCCTGTTGACCTTCAGTAGCAGCCTTATAGGATTTTGGGTCCTCAATTCCATCCTGAGCAGCACCCGGGCCGTGACCCACTGATATCATGACTGCTGCATAGATACGTGCAAGATACTCTTTGTACTCCTCGTCCTCTTCAGCTAGTTGTGAGGATTCAGCCAGCTTACCCGGGGGCGGCCGAGCTCTTCGACTTCCTTCTGGCAGTGCAGCACAAGCGGAGCCAAGTGACGTGTCGAGGCCAGCCAAGGCTCTCGATTTCTTCTTCTTTTGAGTCTGCGACGTCGAGGACTGAATCTGCGACGTTTCCGACGTGGAGGACTGCATTTCTGACATGGAGGACTGCGTAGGAGGTGCAGATGGATGATCGACTGGAGGTTCTTCCTGCATTTGACG